ATACAGGCCCGTGTTGGATGACACAACACCGACACAAGTCCGCGCTGGATGGCACAATACTTCTGGACAACGGTCCGAACGTATGTGGACGGTTTGAGGGTCGGCGTTGGAGATGCCCTTAACTAGCCTTTTGAAAAATGAGATAGTTTATTCAACTTGTAATGTTCAATTGTTTGTATCATTAGGATCCAAGCCAACCTATACAAGTAGAGGCATTTCATATTTTCAAGGTACAATCCCAACTCCCCATTTTTTTCCACCTGCCCATTTTCTTTAATTTGCATGTATATATAAAACTAAACATGTTCTTTGGGTGTGCATCTAGCTGTTCACTGCGAATAAAAATAAGCCTCGTGAGATCACCAGCATACTGGTGGCAAACAAGAGCAAAATCATCAGGTTCCTTAACGCCTTCACTCTGGAAAAAGGTAAAAATAATAATTAGTTTGCACCTTAATTACTTACATCTCTCCACGATTAACCGGAGGTGGTTATCCTGAAGGTGTTTCTATGGCGCTGACCGATGCAGAGGATAGGGTGTTCGAGTCAGACAAGGCCCAAGTACTCGCCGACGTCACGGCCATGAAGTTGTAGAACCGGATGCAGTGTCGACATGCCTTCTTCTTGTTCTTTTGCCTTTGTTAATTATATACTCCATAAAACCGACTGGCAAGTTGGATTAGGATGCCTAGCAGTTTTGGGCAACATGTTGCCCTGTTTCATCCTTGAGCAGAGCAGAAAAAAAGGAATTGCTTTAATTTGATTTGCTGAGTAATTTAAGAGTAGTGCAATAGACTTCTTGCTGCAAATCAGTAAAGCACACGGTCATGTACAAATAGCTCTGACTTTGACTCCGGGGATTAATTTCATTTCAGCATTAGTAGAAGATAACAGTTACTTTTTGTAAGAAAAAGATTGAACTCCTCCGCCACTGACGCTATGTCCGCCATTCCCAGCAGGAACAACTAGGTAAAAAAAAACCTGACTCCTAAGTCCCAAGCACTTTAATAACTCATCGGTTCTCTAGCTTTGATCTCACAGCTTAATTTGTTGCTATGTGTGCTTTGCCTATACGATTGGTCTTGATACGTGTTGGTTGCTATGCTTTGCTTGATTTATAATGATGCTAGTTGAAATGAATATAGTTTTTCCATTTCTCTCAATCTAATGGCAAAATTATCGTTGAATAGAGTTGAGGGGTCTACCGGGGGCATGGCCCAGGTACATTCAGACCTGGTCTTGATATGACTAGACTGGGCCCTGGTGCAAGATAACAAAGCGAGGCCCTTTGATCCAAAACAAACAAGTGCACTGGTCACTTGAAGCAAATTATTTTAACATTTTCTTATACAAAATACTCCCTCTGTAAATAAATATAAGAGCGTTTAGACCAAGTTAATCTATTATCAATGCATACTTAGCTAGAATGTTTCAATCTTTCTTGTGGCACTGACTTTTTTTTCTCGAATACACAAAAGTGTGCGTATAATATTTTTTTCTTGTGACCCTGATGATCTTGAATAATGTTTTAATAATTTCAATTTTGGGAAACTGTTTTCAACTGAAACTACAATCATGGGTATAAATTTAATTCGATAAGCAATGTAGTTGCGTAAAAAAAACTATATTTCTAATAAATCCAGACATCTAATAACGCACATTGGCTCTCTAGTAAGGCTATTTGCAATATTCTTAATTCAGAAAAAAAATCGAAGTAGACATTGGATAAACAATTATGAGAATAGGTTTCAGCAAATTTAGTGCATCACTTACATAGCTCAACATCATCCAGTGACTTCAAGTTTGTCAAGCAAATTTCTCCACTGCTAGAATCTTTTCATTATTATTTGCATCATCATTTTTTCTTTCAAGTAACATGTCGCTTTTGCGGAAATTATGATTTCATATTCATAGAATTCATATCATCTACAAGTCCTTTGGCGATAATCATCAAAAAATCAATTGTGCCATCAATTTGTTGCAATGTGGAGTCGATGCACATGTATAGGGATTGTAATTTTTTGCTCATCCTATTTTACCGAAAATAAACTGTCATGCCAAATTGCAATACTCAGGAAAACTCAAAAGTACACACATAATCATATAATTTTTTCCATTTTTCCTTGACTTGGGATCATCAAAGACTTACAGAATTCAAACAAGGGTTGCCTTAACTTGGGAGTTTGATATATAATAACCTTGATGCATTTACTTATATTATCCCAACGAGTACACCTAGTATAATAATTTTTGAATATGGCAAGGTAAACTTCCATCTTTTGGTTGTACTAGAAAATAATACCTATGTCCATTGCACAATTCCAGAAGACGGAATAACTTTACCACAAGAATTCAAATCGAGGTTCATACTGTGCAACATACATACCGCAAAATCACACTATTTGTTTTTTTATGAGCATCCCACGATCGTCCCAACTTAAGGTTTTCCTTTTTCCCAGCGGTCCTTCAAACCAGAGCAGCCCACCGTGGCAACCTCCACTTCTTCTCTTCCCCAAATGATTCCCTTTTTTTTTATGTGCTTATCATAAGGGTTATCTAGAAAGCGAGACAAACGCTTATTCCAAGAGAATTGAAAAGAACTGAGCGATCTCCCTTGAAATCCACGATTGAGAAGCTCAAATCTGACTGCTTGCAATGGAGCTGGCCTGCATGCTACCTACCTTTAGGCAGGGTTGTCCTTTGTCAGTTCGGCAGGGTCGTGGTTCTGGTCACCGTTTAGCTTCCGGTTCCTTCTCTTTCAGTTTGCAGTTGTTTTTGGTTGGCCTTAGATGGACCTGTTACCCTGTACCATATAACTTGCTTCGTTCTCTTCTTTAGAAGTAGAGTACATGCAGCTCACTTGCTCGTTTGATAAAAAAAATCAGCTGCTGAGCAATCGCGGTGTTGACCGTCTTGTTGTTTGTTTGTTTGGACTAAATTTCGAAGGTAATTAAATTGAACAGTAAAAGTGCCCCAATTCAGAAATAAGCGCAGTACAAATGTTTGCAATTCAGTAAACTACATCATGGGTATATACAAGTGACGAATCAATACTGAAATTGACTCAGGGGAGGAGGAGGGATACAGGTAAAACTCCTCCAAATTAACTCCATTTCAGAAAGAAGGAGATGACTAATTAAGCAGAGAATAAGCCGTCAAAGGCTGCCATGGCGACCGGTGTCTTCGGCTCGGCGACGTCGGCCTTGACGAGCAGCGCGACGCGCACCTTGACCCCCGACGCCCAGGAGCCCCACACCTTGGCCACGGCCCCGAAGTTCTCCCGTCCTTTGGACGCCTCCTCGCCGGCGCCGGCGAAGGGCGCCCCTCGCTGCAGCCTCTTCTCGAACGCCTCGTCGGCCACCAGCATCGCTATGTCCGCCATTGGCAAGCGACCGAAAAACCACTCGAACCAGATGGAAACTGAAACTGAACCTGCTGTTGCTCTGGAATGGATGCCGTGAAGTGTGGATGGATGGATCTTTGGCCGTGGGGTGCATCTTATATAGCAACAGGATGGCTCTCGGTGCGCGCTCATTGCTTTGCTTGGTTCGGATAAGCCTCTCCATTGTGGGTGATCGGTCGCCGGTTTTGTATATTACTGGGTGCCGTTTGCTTGTTTTGTCTGACGACTCCGCGCGCCGCTGCAGCTGTTTCGGTGGTGAGTTCCCTTTTTCAAATCCCGTTGGCCGGTGGGTGGATGCTTTGCAGCAACCTTAAGAACCTTTTTCTTTGGCAAAACTGGGTCGCTTATCACGTCTGCCATGTGGTGGCAACTTGAGAACCTGACGTAGCAACAAGGGATAATCACAGAGAAATGTTGTTGTCTCCTGCCTTGACGATAAGCCATACGGAGTATCTATAATTACAGGCTGCTTTTATCCGTAGATAGAAGCACCTACTTTTATGTACTCCCTCCGTCCGGAAATACTTGTCATCAAAATGAATAAAAGGGGATGTATCTAGATGTATTTTAACTCTAGATACATCTTTTTTTATTCATTTTGATGACAAGTATTTTCGGACGGAGGGAGTAGAAACTGAGAAATGTACTCCGAGTAAGTTCCAAGCGTAAAAAATCTCTCAAATAAAAATCTAGCAACGTCGTGCCAACTCGATCAAAACCATGAAAGGAGGCTCTTAACCTAGAAAAGGCTTTAATCCCACTTTATATATAAAAGCAATGTGGCCGAATCGATACAACAAGAGGAGAACTCCTCTTACAAGCAGATCAAAGGTAAAAATAAGATTACAAGAGTAAGTGGTAGCGAACAGTGCAAACGTAGTGATGATTTGATGCTAAAAATCTATTTTTAAATGTGTTGGCCCTTCCCAATTAGTTTTAGGAGCACTTGGTCCTTAATAGAAATTTTCTAGCTCCACCACTTACGAGTGCCCACACCCTATCAAGAAGCACGCGAGGGTACTAACTAAAAGAAAGATCGCACCTCCAAGAGAAACCATCGTACATCAATGTACCACGCACACCAAGTTGTCGTCGAAGAGGACCCCTGCCCTCTCGCTCCGAGCATGGAGCGCTGATCTAGCCTACAGACGAGCGATTCAACGATGTCACGTGTAAAGGATAGGAAGCCACCGGGACTGCCCCAAACCAGAGCTGAAGTAGCCTTGAGGTAGGATCCAAGCTTGCACGATGATGCCAAAGGACCGAAGGGTACCTGAGCTCCACGTTTTCGTTGCCGTGACCAAAGAATGGTCAAGGGTTTTGACCCAGAGCCTTGACGTGGAGCGGGGGACCACAACGATGCTCCCAAGAGGGATGATGTCTACTACGCAACCTTTTTCTTGTAGACGTTGTTGGGCCTCCAAATGCAGAGGTTTGTAGGACAGTAGCAAATTTCCCTCAAGTGGATGGCCTAAGGTTTATCAATCCGTGGGAGGCGTAGGTTGAAGATGGTCTCTCTCAAACAACCCTGCAACCAAATAATAAAGAGTCTCTTGTGTCCCCAACACACCCAATACAATGGTAAATTGTATAGGTACACTAGTTTGGCGAAGAGATGATGATACAAATGCAATATAGATGGTAGATATAGGTTTTTGTAATATGAAAATATAAAAATAGCAAAGTAACTAATGATAAAAGTGAGCGTAAACGGTATTGCAATACTAGGAAATAAGGCATAGGGTTCATACTTTCACTAGTGCAAGTTCTCTCAACAATAATAACATAACTGGATCATATAACTATCCATCAACATACAACAAAGAGTCACTCCAAAGTCACTAATAGCGGAGAACAAACGAAGAGATTATTGTAGGATACAAAACCACCTCAAAATTATCCTTTCTGATCGATCTATTCAAGAGTTTGTAGTAAAATAACACGAAGCTATTCTTTCACTTTGATCTATCATAGAGTTCATACTAGAATAACACCTTAAGACACAAATCAACCAAAATCCTAATGTCACCTCAAGTATCCATGGGCATGAGTATACGATATGCATCACACAATCTCAGATTCATCTATTCAACCAACACAAAGTACTTCAAAGAGTGCCCCAAAGTTTCTACCGGAGAGTCAAGACGAAAATGTGTGCCAACCCCTATGCATAAGTTCACAAGGTCACTGAACCCGCAAGTTGATCACCAGAACGTACATCAAGTAGATCACGTGAATATCCCATTGAAATAAGCACATGCAATACGTACATCAAGTGTTCTCAAATCCTTAAAGACTCAATCCGATAAGATAACTTCAAAGAGAAAACTCAATCCATTACAAGAGAGTAGAGGGGGAGAAACATCATAAGATCCAACTACAGTAGCAAAGCTCGCGGTACATCAAGATCGTGCCAAGTCAAGAACGCGCGCGCGAGAGAGAGAGAGAGAGATCAAACACATAGCTACTGGTACATACCCTCAGCCCCAAGGTTGAACTACTCCCTCCTCGTCACGGAGAGCGCCGGGATGATGAAGATGGCCACCGGTGAGGGCTCCCCCCTTCGGCAGGGTGCCAGAATAGGGTCCCGATTGGTTTTTGATGGCTACAGAGGCTTGCGGTGGCGGAACTCCCGATCTATGGTGCTCCTGGATGTTTTTGGGGTATATGAGTATATATAGGCGAAAGAAGTCGGTCAGGCGAGCCATGAGGGGCCCACGAGGGTGGGGGCGCGCCCTGGACCCTCGTGGCCACCTTGTTGCTTCCCTGACGTCCAATTCAAGTCTTCTGGATTGTGTTTGTTCCAAAAATGATTCTCCCGAAGGTTTCATTCCGTTTGGACTCCATTTGATATTCCTTTTCTGCGAAACACTGAAATAGGCAAAAAAACAGCAATTTGGACTGGGCCTCCGGTTAATAGGTTAGTCCCAAAAATAATATAAAAGTGTATAATAAAGCCCATTAAACATCCAAAATAGATAATATAATAGCATGGAACAATCAAAAATTATAGATACATTGGAAACGTATCAAGCATCCCCAAGCTTAATTCCTGCTCGTCCTCGAGTAGGTAAATGATAAAAACAGAATTTTTGATGTGGAATACTACCTAACGTATTTATCAATGTAATCTTCTCTATTATGGCATGAAAGTTCAGATCCGAAAGATTCAAGACAAAAGTTTAATATTGACATAAAAATAATAATACTTCAAGCATACTAACAAAGTAATCATGTCTTCTCAAAATAGCATGGCCAAAGAAAGCTATCCCTACAAAATCATATAGTCTGGCTATGCTCTATCTTCATCACACAAAGTATTTAATCATGCACAACCCCGATGACAAGCCAAGCAATTGTTTCATACTTTTGATGTTCTCAAACTTTTTCAATCTTCATGCAATATATGAGCGTGAGCCATGGACATAGCACTATATGTGGAATAGAATAGTGGTTGTGGAGAAGACAAAAAAGAGGAAAAGATAGTCTCACATTAACTAGGCGTATCAACGGGCTATGGAGATGCCCATTAATAGATATTAATGTGAGTGAGTAGGGATTGCCATATAACGGATGCACCAGAGCTATAAGTGTATGAAAGCTCATCAAAAGAAACTAAGTGGGTGTGCATCCAACTTGCTTGCTGACGAAGACCTAGGGCAATTTGAGGAAGCCAAGTTCTACAATGAAAAATAAAAAGTTCTATAATGAAAAATTCCCACTAGCATATGAAAGTGACAACATAGGAAACTCTCTATCATGAAGATCATGGTGCTACTTTGAAGCACAAGTGTGGTAAAAGGATAGTAACATTGTCCCTTCACTCTTTTTCTCTCATTTTTTCCTCTTTTTTTGATGGGCTTCTTTGGCCTCTTTTTTTATTTGAGCTTCTTTGGCCTCTTTTATTTTTCATAAAGTCCGGAGTCTCATCCCGACTTGTGGAGGAATCTTAGTCTCCATCATTTTTTCCTCACTGGGACAATGCTCTAATAATAAAGATCATCACACTTTTATTTACTTACAACTCGATACTTAGGACAAAATATGACTCTATGTGAATGCCTCCGGTGGTATACCGGGATATGCACTGAATCAAGAGTGAATGGTGGCTTTGCCACAAATACGATGTCAACTACATGATCATGCAAAAGCAATATGACAATGGGGAGCGTGTCATAATAAACGAAACGGTGGAAAGTTGCATGGCGAGGCGCTCCCTCCCGCTAGGCTCCCGCTAGGGTTTCCGCCGGCGCTGCCGGTGCCCTAGCCTCCTCTCGCCACCATCGGTCGCCGGCGTGCGCGCCCCGGCGCATCCCGCCCCCTCTTCCCCGTTCCCGCCCCTGCACCGCCTCCTCGGGAGGTGGCCGGGGCGGCGCGCCCCTCCCCTTCCTCTCGGCCCCCTCCTCCGGTGGTTTTCCCCCGCAGCCACCGGCGGGCGCCCCCGGCGCTGGCCCGGGTGGTGCCAGCGGCGATGGGCCCTTCTGTCCCCACGCGATCGTCTCTTTCTCGGGGCAGGTGACAGCGGCGGTGCTACTCGGCCAGGCGGCGGCCCGGCGACCCGGCGACGGTCGCCGGCGGTGGGCGCGGTGGCGGTGCTGCCCTTGGCGGCAGGGCGGCGTGGTGACGTGCGGTGGCCGGCGGCACGCCCCCGGCCCAGATCTGGGCCCTCCCGGCCCCATCTGGGTCCTAGCGGGCCGGTTCTCCGGTGTGGCCTTATTGTCTGCGGCGCGGTGAGGAGGAGGAGCGGCTAGGATATGGGGCGTCGGCGCCGATGGCGTGCCGGCAGCAGTGCGAAGGCGGGAGCTTTACGGGCCCACGAGGGCTCGGCTGGGCCTGTGGGACCATGGGCCTGGTGTGCTCCTGCTATTGCGTCCGGACGGCTACCGTCGTGGACGGTGGAGGTGGGGTCCTCCCATGTGCCGACGGTGTTGATGCCCTAGTCCCGGCTCTGATTCTTCGCCGCACTGTCCCCACTTCACGGTGCCATGGTGAGACGGCGTAGGAGCCTCATGACCTCGTTGGTGCAGGGTGGTGGTTGGTTTGGTGGCTGGATCCGGAGCGCCCGAGGTGCGGGTTGGGATCGGGGGAAACCCCTGTCGGCGGGGCCGACACCGACGCGATGGCCCTTCCTC